GTCATGTTTTTTGTTTTAAAAAAGATGCAAATTGAAACGTACAAAAGGGTCCACCCCTTTGGAATGGGGGTCGTTGGGATTCTTTTGTTCTCATGTTTTCAAAACAAAAACAAGATTTAGTTGGGCTACAGTATAAAAGCTGGAACTCAAAGCTATTACAGACATTTTGAATTGAAAAAGCTTCCTGGATGGGAAGTGAAACGTCTTCAATCTTGAAAACAAATTCCAGTGGATAATTTTTGTTTTTAATTAACTTTTTTTTTTTTTTGTTGAATTAAAAAGAATCATTTTATTTCCTTTTTTGTTTTTCAAATTTAATTTTTTCAACAATTTTTAATTAAAGGAAATTTATTTGAAAGAATGATAGGAAAGAAAATAAATTCCTCTACCTAAAACATATTTTCTAAATTATTGTTCTTCCTTGACATATTTTTCAATATTTTTGTGTTTTTCTTTTTCAGGTTGTTTTATGAATTGTAATATTTTTTAATTGCGTTTTACGGATCACATTAGGTGTGTTTCAGGTGAACAGCACCTTGCCTGGAATGAGGCTGAGAGTTTACAGGTGATAGACGGGACAAAGCTGTCTGCAACTGAACAAGATGGCTGGCAGTGATTGAGTTATGCAAGTTATTCATTGAAAATACATAATTAAAGAAGCCACAGATCAATGGTTCAAGTTTGTATTTATGCATATCTATAGAACTAAATTAGGACATTAGATGCAGAAGCAAAGCAACGCCTCCAGCCTCCGTGGTTCCTCCAGTCTAAGAGAGATACGTGGAAGCAGATAATAATCCAAACTCTTTTCTAACAGTTTATTTAATAATGATTTTCCAGCCATTGATTCATGTTCAATACATCAATTTATTTTGTACATCACAAGTTATTTAACTTCTCACCACGGCTACCATTTAATACAAGCTGCAACGCTATAATGCATAAGAGCCCAGGTCAGCCACAGACTGGTTCTGAAGCCACTCCTTTGAGATCTGGGCTGTGCTTTGGATCTGAGGTCCAGAGCATTTTGGAGCAGGTGTTTCTCCAAGAGGCCTCTGTACATTACTGCATCCTGACCAATATTCCCCTAACATGATGCTGCCACCACTATGCTTCAATGTAGGGGTGGTATTGGTTTCCTCCAAACATGGTGCCTGTTATTCAAGTGTTCAACCTTCATCTCGTCAAACCAGGGAATTCAGGTTCTCATGGTCTGGAAGTCCTTCAGGAGCCACAAGGGTTCACCCCATAAAACCAGCCTTGTTCTTTTCATTAGGGAGCTGCTTCCATCTGGCCGTTCTTGCAAACTGGCTAAACATGACTAAAAAAACAAGAAGTTTTTCAAAGTTTCTTGTTTTTTTGTTTCAAATTTCTATAAAAAATGTGTTCTTTGCTTGCAACAATAATGGAAGCAAATTCACTCCATAGTTTCTCCGATGACTTCCACTTCTTGGGGCGAGCTCTTCTCTGGAATCAGGAGGAAAGATGCATTTCTATTGGCTGCGTGGTTGCTTGCAACATTTCAAACTCAAGACTGTTTGTATTGGGACTTGAGCAAAGAGAATATGATCTGAAAAAAAAAATTTGTGAAACAAGTTTTTTTTTTTTAGATATAAAATTGTAAAAATACTGTTAAAATAGTAAAAAAAAATAAGAATATCTGAGATGATTGCAAATCTACTCTCTAATTTCCATTCCTAGATCCCTTTTTTTCAAATTGTGTTTAAAAAAAAGGGCATATTTTTAAATTTCTACTTACCCAAGTGTTCTTTGATTGCATCATCAATAGAAGAAATTTTGCTCCATACCTGTACTTCAGCTGAATTTTGAGCTTCATGGTAATGGTTGTGATTAATTTCAGAAATGTGATTTGTGAAGTTCAAGCTTTAACGCTAATTCTGATATTTTGAATCGAAAAAGCTTCCTGGATGGGAAGCGAAACGTCTTCACGCTTGGAAAATAAAGTCCAGTGGTATCTTTTTTTTTACATTTTTGGAATGACTATGACCTGGATGACTGAGAATCTTCACCAGCAATCTCCTAATAAACCTTTTTTCCCCACAATATCATAACCAGATATTGTGTGTAGAATTTTAAGTAAAAAGATTATTTCAACACCGTTGGGAACAAGACTCTAAAATGAGTAGATATGGGAAAGGTGCAGCACTGTGAGCACTTTAGAAAATTAGAGATAATTTGGATTTAAAAATCATTCTAATTTAGTTATTTCTAATTAGTAGGAAAACAATAAAGATGCTGTGTTTCTACCATTTTCATCATATTTTAATGGCCCTTATGCAGCTAGGTCTCCAATCTGACTTGCATATGAGTCTGTCTAACAAAAGCCCCCTCCAAAATGTATTTGTGTTCTCCCATCCTCTATGAAGGAGTGGTGAACGGTAAACAAAGAGAAGCAGATGGGGCAGTTCAAACAGTCCACTTATATTAGCAATTCCCTGCTCTGAGTGCTTGTTTCATCTGAAAGGGGAAGGTTATTTACTGAGACAAAAATAAAAGTCTCAGCTTGCGTCCAAAACAGACATGAAGCACTTTTCTGCATAAATATTTCAGAGTGGTGTCCTGACTTCTTGCTTTATTGCCTTTTAAACTCTGAGGATTGTTGGTTAACATGCTGCAGTGTAAAGCAACATATAAAAACCTAAATATCTGCTGCCCCCTTGAGGAACAAAGAGGAATGTCTTTTTTTTCTCTTATATAAATAACTTCAGTTTAGAATTCATTGCGGCAT